GACAAGCATGATATAAGGAACTAGCTAGTGATCGATCAGTCTTTAATCAATAAGAACTGTGATAGGTCCAGCCGAAAACAAGATAACACTACAGATGTACTGCCGTTATTGATTTGGAACTATATCACCGAACGTTTTCGATCAGAGATGGCGAGTGATGTGTTAACTCTAGCCAAAATTTGTTAATTTAATGATGTAAATCAGATCAGGAATTATGACCTTCAATGATCCATACTATATCTTGTCCTGTTTGATTATAATTCTTTTCCATTCTAGTCATTATCCCACGTCTTAGTAGGTAGCGTATAGACATACTTAATTCATGTAGCGTAGTCACCCTGTATTGTTTTGAAACGGTCGGGAGGGAACCTAATCATCCCCCAAACCTATGCGAGGTACTGGCTAGCGAACGATTAAACCAGAAGAGAGATAGGAACAGATAGACCGAGGCGTGATATCACTTTTTTGAAATCAATAACCAGTAAACCAAACCGAGTCAAAAATGTACAGACCTCTTTTTTGTGTCCGTTTGACTATCATATTTTATGGCTGGACACCCTAGATGGTATAGCCCTGGACAGATGTCTCTTCATAGTTTATCATTTCTTAGAAATGAAAACCTACAACACAACATTAGCTACCATTCAGGACTTTCAGGTTGGATGACTAGCAAAAGGCTTTCAAATCTCAATCAACTTACAATACGTTACAGCTCATTACTGAATCGATTAACCCCTAGAGGTTGAACGTTCATACTCATATTATATGCATTATTCATTTCAAGACCTATCAATAATAAACAAGAGATTACCGTCAAAACTTTTGCGATCAACTATTATTTATCAAATGAATATCAGTCAATATACTGTGAGTTTACTGAGTGATTACTTCAGGCAACAAAATTATATATGTGAGATTCTGTAGACTTTATTGTAGAAAATGTAATGGAACTCATCAGACCAATTAGAATTTGATTTGGTCAATTATTAAGTTTCAATGGTTAAGATCATGAGTCAGTTGAAGCTAGATCACCATGGAAAACCTGGAAGCACTGGATCGCCGTTTTGTCCTATTGTGGAACTCCTCAGCAGTGCGCATCCACGACCTCGCCCCCTGCGAGATTCGAACCCAGGACCTACTGGTTTCGCGCGCGAGCACTTAACCACTAGATCATGATCTTAACCATTGAAATTACTACAATCTCCACAAAAACTCATCTGAAATTATTAAGTTGTTTAGGCTGGATTGGATGAAGAAGTTAGATCAATGTAATTAGAAATATTGGATGTGTCTATGATTTATGAACGAACTAGTTAGATTTAAAATAGAAACTCTTGGGTTCTTGCGTGGATTTATTTATCTATATGGCTAAATGGTATTTTGGGATTGCAGCTTATGTCAGTTGGTGATGAGATCCCTAACTCTAACTACTAACCAAAACTTCTAACGATAAATTTTAATTCTAAGTATTCACATTAGTTTACAACCCTCTTTTGATCTTATTGTTATCTGTATAGAGTCATCCTTAAGATTATTGATTGATATTGATATCACGAAATGACCTATATTGGACATCCATTTAAATCCAGGAATAACTGAATAGCTGTTCCTGGTCAGAAGCCATAATCATTGGAGTTCATATGTGTCGGATGTGTGACGCTTATCTGTTGAAGACGATAAAAGAAAGTTGTATGATGTTATATATTGATTGAAGTCAAACTTGTACACTATTGGATTCCGGCTTATAATTTTAAAGTTTGAGCGTTTGCAATGAGATCTGAGGTCTTAGTTTCAATCCCCTGTAGCGGTATTGTGGGTGTGCAACTTTGAGAAACCTCATACTAGGACGAAATTGTTGTCTAGTATTTCCTAGTCTTGAGTGAATGTTGCGCTTCAGTCAGTTCAATAAAATCCCTTTGATGTAGGCCATAATAAGATATTGCTTTATTAGGAATTTACTTGACTAATCCCTATCTATTCATCAGTCTCTTATAAATATACCGACCATTTTGTGAATTAAATATCAATTTGAAGAAATTAATATCTTGAAGTGGTAGTAGTGTGGTGTATGCTACTTATGCTTACAAATATAAGTAGTATGTAGCACTAATCAGGAGTGGAATGCCTGCCAACAGAAGATTAAATTGAAGAGAACATGAAAGGAAATAGACAGCAATTGTAATAACAACAGAATTTAAAGAATCACGAAGTATGCAAATGAAAACGGAAGGAAGATGTGAAAATAATGTCGTTCATATTTTACAAATGCACACTGTAAGTGTGCATCAAAACAATAAATTTACTCTGCTTGAGTTCTCGTTCACTACAGTGGGACCAATGATACATACTACAGAGGAGTTTTACTTTTAAAGGGCGAACCAATTATACATTGTTTTCATGGTTCAATAAAGACATTAATCTCTTTGTTGTATTCATCACAGATTAATCTTTGTCAGGATACCATTGAAAACCAGAAAACACTAGATAGCTATTTCATTTTAGTATGCGATGCCTCAACAGTAAGTATTTACAACATTACATTGGATCGAATCTCGAACCTTCACGTCCATAAACCAATCCCTACATAATCACTTCAACTATACCATTATAATCGACTCACTAATGACTCACTTTAAGATTTTCCTGAAGTTCTGATAAGAAGTCTTAACTGGTAGATTTTAAACATGTCGAAAGTAAAACAGTTGTTTGATAGTCCTATTTAATGTTCGTCATGCTTCATCACTGATTAATCGAAATTCGGAACTGTACCATTGTACGGTAGTGACCCAGTAATTTAAAAGATCAGTTAATTACTTTAAGACCTGAAGGTCATGAGCTCGATCCGTGGTAGGATAGTGCAAGGGCACTGCATAGTGTCTAATACTAGAACTAGGTAGCTATCTAGTGTTCTCTGGTTTTTAATGGTATCTGGACTGGGATTAATTTGTCATGAATACAACCGATAAAGTAAACTTATTTCCACAAAACTCAATCAAAACACTAACAGATCGATTTTTTACTGCCTTGCTAAGCATTTCAAGTGATATAATCAAGCAAAAACAATCAGTATTCTTTGTTAATAGAGTTATATCTTTTTAACTTATCAGCTTTATTCAGTCTTAATTTACTAAAACATCAGAATTAGGAACAGTACAGTTTGTTCGATAAAAATTCCATGCTCCTATAAAAGGATTAGACAAAAGTATTATTGCTTTTGAAAAATTAAGTTAAATTAACTTAGTTGTCAAGTACTAGGGTCTAAGTTACGCCTAAAGCGTAGTGACTAATGATACTTCATGGTTGTCTGAACCTAAGTAGGTAGGAAGGGGTTTCGAACCCGTTACCTTCATGGATGGAAATCAAAGGCCTTAACCACTAGGCCACCTTTCCAGTGATTACTAAGTAAAAATATTGCATTTCTATATAAGATAAGACGAAAATAGACTGATTCTTCGACAGTAACGTCCCTGACTACTACATATTGGGTAATAAGGATTGAACTCTCATGGTATCCAACAGTTCTCATAAGATAAGTGTATACATATATATATGTCTCGACTTGACGATTGTCAGTGAAACCTGACTTCTGTGGGATGTCTTCTGGTTACTTTCAACTCTTTAACATTAAAACAATATGTTTACTGAACTACAAAAGTTACTGAGTAAAAAAATCAATAATTTAATTGGCGTGGAAATTATGGAGATTAATGTAAGTCGAACGTCAAACAGTAACTATCATTAACACTTGACTTTCATTATGACATGTTTCATAGAGTTTACACAATGAGAGTATACTTTACAGATGATGTTCAATGACTCTTGGAATGATCTTGTAAAAGCAGGTTATTAACCTTATTTTTATAGATAACTTAAGTAGATAATTTATTACATAAAATCTTTTCTTAAATGCTGAATGAGTTTGTGTAATCAAAATAATCAATTTAGAAAAAGATGAAATCTGATAGTACACTTTGCAAAATGTTATAATCCATTTAAAATCACCGTAGATACATTAATGTTTTTGTAAATTTTATAACAACAAACCTAAGATTGTATCCATCTTGATGTTAGGTGGTAGATGATAGTCAGAAGGACACCCTATTTGATTTAGTTTCCCTGTTATTTGGTTCTAGTCAATAAGTCGTAGCTACAATTTCGAGAGAACTGGTGTTCATAGATAGATTCTAACCTAGGCCACCAAGTTTCACAGTTTGAAATATTGTTATCATGCTATTCGAATCACAACTAACTTCCAATATGACTGAGGTATTTTTACATCAATTAACCAATCAATCAGTCGGTCAGTCAGTTAGCTACAACGTAGAACCAGGAACACATATGCATCGGCCGAAATTGCCATACTTAATTAGTACAACAAGATGAATACCAGATTTATAGAAGTAGTTACTTCAATGACTAATGATCAGTGATCAATCAATTGAAAATGGTAACGATCTATTTACTCATTAGTTATTAAAATTGAAGTTGATGAAGATCGTCACTACTTGATAACTTCACTAATTCAATATAATAATATTACTGACTATTTTATTTTTTCTAGTTAGCGATTTTTTTTAGCGAATTAGTTTTCTACTGGTCTTCTACGTAGAATACATCGAATACGTTGACCAGACATTATTAGTAACAATCTACTGTGGAAGAGAATAAACCAAATCTCAATGGAGGAAGAAATCAAGAAGAAACGCTGAAAGTGGCTAGGACACATATTGAGGGAATCACCTAATTGCGTCACAAGACAAACCATCACATAGAATCCTCAAGACCAAAGAACGATTAAAGAACACATTAAACCGATAAATGGAAACAAACATAACAACAAATGAATGAACAACAATTGGATAGAACTAGTAAATGAATGCCTAGGACAATGTGGATTAATGAATGTTGGTCGACGGCTTATGCTCCATTGGGGGTAACAGACGTAAGTAAGTAAATACTAACCATTTTATAGCAAAGTAATATATTGAAATACAACTTACTTCCATTAGTTTGTAATTGTTAAGGTATCAAAAATTGATTTGTATTTCTTATGATTAATATCCAATATAATCAATCTTCCATATATCTATTTGTTATATGCATACATATATATAGATCCATTATAGTAATAGATGATAGATATTCTCTTTATTCCTGAGTACTTGTTTGAGTATAATTTTATATCCACCCAGATAACTGTAATAGAACATTTGGTTAAACTTCACACATTGAAATGACACAGTATTCATCAAATGATATGAACAATGGATAAGAATGATAATACTCTTTTGCCTACGATCAATTAGTCATTAAGGTCAGATATGGATAGACATTCAGGTAGATTATTTATTATTATTTATATAAGGATTATAATAATAATAATAATTGTTGCTAAGACACTATAGAGATTAATTATTATTATTATTATCAAGAGTTCCTTTATGCATCATTATTATTATTATTATTACTTGTATTGATGATGATGGTGATGTGATGATGATGATGATGAAAATAATTCTATGAATGAAAATTTAAACAACCCACGCATATTATTGATACAACATTAAATAACAAATCAGATTACAAAATCAATTGGGCAACAACAACAACAGCCATAACAACAACAAATACTGATAGATAGATAGATAAATATCCCAGTCATTCATTCATTCATTCATTCTTCGCCAAATATGTTTGTATCTATGTATATGTACGGATTTGTGTTTGTGTGTATTTACATTAGTGTATATATATTAGTTTACTAGACACTTACATACAGATATCTTTTTTTCCTTAAAAGAATGTAGTAAAGACAGGGGATAAAAGAGGATAGAGTAATGAGTGAGAGACAAACATAAATATCCCAACATACATACAAAGATTTATAGAATAGAATACATAAACCTGTAAGTTAAATGATTATTTGATATGCATATTCATAGAATTCCTCTTTCTTATTTCTAATAATGATATTAGTTAACTAAGTGATTAATTGTAGTTTACTTACTTACATCTGTTGCTCATCATGAAGGAGAATAGGCTGACCACTAGTATTCTCCATTCAACTTTGTCCTGAACGATCCTTTCCAGTTCTTTCCATTTCCTATTCATCCTTTTCATATTTGCTTCCAATTCCCGAGGTAATGTGTTCTTTGACTTTCTTCTTTTTCGTTTCCATTCAACAACTTGCTTCGTGATACAGTTTAATGTTTTCTACAATATATTTCCGATCCACTTCCACTGTCTTTTCCTAATTTCCTCTTTAATTGGAAGTTGGTTTGTGAGATGTTGGAGACCATCAAGGTGTACAGGACAAACAATGAACCACATGTGAAGAAATTCGGACACTTCACTTCTACCTGAAGTTTGTGCTATTGATGTCGTTCAGAAGAACGATGAAAACTTCACAACTAAAACATTCAGCTCAGAGAACAAAACTCTATTTAAAAAAAAGCTGGTTTGTTCTCTCCCATAGCAGGCTGTCTATGATGGTATCCGACCAACAGACATTGAGTATCTTGCGTAGATAATTGTTTATAAGTACTTGTACATTTTTGATAATGTTTGTAGTAGTTGTCAAAGTTTCAGCTCCATACAGTAGAACTGTCCTGAAGTTCATATTGAAGATTGTGACTTTGATATTTATTGACAGATAGTTGTCTTTGTTATATCCGAGCGAAGATTAAATCACGAGTAACTTCTGTGACATATTAATTGACTAATATTATCTATATATATATAACTATTCAACAGTAGATTACGTATATTTATATTCCTCTTATTATAAGCTTTATTCTGACCTATAATTTATTATTGCACGGTTTACTGTTCTTAAGTTATGTTCAGTTTATTGACTACTGCCTCCCACGTTCACAGTCACTTTTTGGCTTTATTGTGTATGAATGTTATTTCCTATTTTATGGTGCGTTACGGTCTGTTTGTTTGATATATAAACCCAGTATGTTTGAAATAAATGATTCGATTCGATTCGCATAGTGGAAGCTGGTATTGGGATTCTGGACTCAAGTGGACGGGTTAGACGGACATAGGACCAATAAGGTTTCTAGGCTGTTCATACCGGTCGAACGTCATCGGTTTTGGCATAATGCTAAGATTGTATAAATCGTATTTTGATTGGTAAATAAGTCACGTGACAAAAGCCGGATATAAGCCCATAACAGTTTTGAGTTCCATATGTTCTTCCATTGTAGGAATGCTGTTCTTACATTGCCATTCCTTACCTTTATGTCTGTATCAGATCCTTCAGATTCAATATCAATTATAGCTTAATTACCTAATTCACACTTATTGATGATACAGATTCAAGGCTTATTTATGTATTTTTTTTTTCTTCTTCTTCTTCTGTTAATTCATAATTTTGTAGAAATTTCTCGATTTACATCATTATTCTTGTTTGTTCTTCTCTTTTCTTCCTTTTTTTATGGATGATTTCTTAGATAAGAAAATTGTTTTTAATTAAACTTTAAGATATTGAAAACTGGAATTATGATTCATTGCTAGACGATAAATATATTTCTTGGGAAAGAAAAAAAAACTACGATAGAAACAAAACAAAATATGCGTGTGTGTGTGTATGTGCATGAGGATTGTTGATGATTTGCACATGTGAAAAGAACATTTACATTTAGATGGTGGTTGGAAGTAGTCGACAGGAAACCCTGGACCCGGGTTTCGTGCTACTTGGCACTCTTCAGCAGGGTGTACCTGTAATCTTGAGGGAACTGGTGCTCCTTAGCAGATTCGATCTCGTATCATCCAGCTTCACAGTCATAGCATTCGATCTCCACTAAATAAGGACTTGACACACATGACATCGATCACAACCCAGTGATCAATCAATTTTGATTACATCTCAGTCCTACAGGAGGTCAGTCGCGGCTCGGATAGCTCAGTGGTAACGTCTCTGACTGTGAAGCTGGGTGACACGGGATTGAGTCCGCCAGAGAGCACCAGTTCCCTGATGGTTACAGGTACACCTTGCTGACGAGTGCCAAGTAGCACGAAACCCGAGTTCAGGGTTTCCTGTTGACTACCTCCAACCACTATCTAATCTCAATATATAGTGCACGCAGTATCGAGTCACCTAGACTGGTGGCCACATTGAAACATGGTCGATAGCATTTGATCTGCACTAGATAAGGACTTGACACACATGACACTGATCACCACCTAGTGATCAATCAATTGTGATAACATATACATTTATTAGAACTATGGTTAGTAATGGAATCTATGAAGTGTATTTCATTCTATTTGAGAATAAATATATATATATATTAAAACTAAAAATCGAACCCCAATTACTTTCTCTTCAAAAATCAACTCGTTATTTTAATAGTTGAAATCATGAATCAATTGAAGCTAGACCACCATGGAAAACCTGGAAGTAATGGATGGCCGTTTCGTCCTAGTATGGCACTCCTTACCAGTGTGTATCCACGGTCCCGCACACCGCGAGACTCGAACCCAGGAACTATCGGTCTCACGCGCGAGTGCTTAACCATTAGACCACTGAGCCGGCTAGTATCCAACGGTGTTAATGTCTAACTTTAACTAATCCACAAAATTGCGCCACCGTACACCATTGTCTTCAGTGAGTTGATTTCTCACAACAGACCTGGTTGAACTCCACTGGTAACGGCTTCTCACTAGAACTTCAGGAAATGGCTAAAGTGTTTCCAAATTTTTCATGGTGGTCTAGCTTCAAATGACTCATGATTTCAACTATTGAAAATACTAAAGTCTCCACAAAACCCCCTCTGATAACTCGCTATTTATTAAAATACAAAGTTCAGATAGTCCATAGCTTGTTCCATTGATATCCAATAACGAACTTTTTAAAAAATTAAGTAGCAATATTTAGGTAGTTCACTCACGATACACATATGATATCAATTACAGTTTATAACATTCAACAATGGGTGAATATAGTCATTTACAAGTTGAATATGATCACTGCATATATAAATAAAAGACAGTTTAGTGGTCTTGAAGTTAAGTATTGGTATGCAAGAGCAAAAGTCTTGAGTCCAATCTTTGGTGATGAAGTCATGGATCAGCATTCATGAGGAGTCTCGTACTAGGACGAAATACCTGTAAAATGCTTTCTAGTTTTGCAATGGTTTTTCAACTTAGATTATTCCATGATGTTAACTATCAGTAAACGTATTTGCTTGATATCTAAATATATATAAAAACAGTATCATTTAATCAATCTACTGATGAATGTTTCTCTTACGATAATAACATTGAATTACTTTCTCTCCTAGTTTTATCATTAGGTCAGAAGTAGAAAGTGTGTTCTAGATATCTAGTTACTTTCTTTTTATCGTATTTTATAATAATCTATGCATAACAATGAAAATTTTATTATCTCTGTTAATCAGGAATAATGATCATTAACTTTGTAAATGGATCAGTGTTATGATATTGTAAATTGTGTTACATCCATGCAAAACTGGTAATTAGGATAGAAGATGAAATGAGGTGACTGAACTGAGATTTAGATGACACAGGGAAGGAAATGAAAACGGATGGTAGATGGTCGATTTTATTTATCCCCTTCCAACAAGATTTGGGATGAAAAACAAGTACCAACAAATTGTAAAGAAGGACACCTGGTCAAGATAACAAAGAAAGGCGATCTCAGAAAGTGTGAGAACTACAGAGGCATCATCCTTCTCTCAATACCAGGAAAAGTCTTCAACAGTGTATTGTTAAGCAGAACGAAGAACTCCGTAGACGCCCAACTTCGTGACCAACAGGCAGGATTCCGTAAGGATAGATCGTGTACAGACCAAATCGATACTCTACGGATCATTGTGGAACAATCAATTGAATGGAATTCATCACTCTACATCAACTTTATTGACTGCGAAAAAACATTTGACAGCGTGGACAGAACAACACTATTGAAGCTTCTTCGACATTACGGTGTACTTGAGAAGATAGTCAATATCATACAGAATTTATATGATTGATTAAATTGCAAAATCGTGCATGGAGGACAATCGACGGACTCGTTCGAAGTAAAGACCAGTGTCAGACAAGATTGCTTACTCTCACCCTTTCTCTTTCTTCTGGTGATCGACTGGATCATGAAGACGTCAACATCTGAAGAGGGCACGGGATACAGTAGACATCTAGGATGCAGTTGGACGATCTAGACTTCGCAGATGATCTGGCCCTTCTATCCCAAACGCGACAACAAGTGCTGGAGATGACGACCAGTGTAGCAGCAGCCTCAGCAGCAGTAGGTCTCAATATATACAAAGGGAAAAGCAAGATTCTCCGATACAACACAGCATGCGCCAATCCAATCACAATTGACGGAGAAGATTTGGAAGATGTAAAAACCCTTACATATCTGGGCAGCATCATTGATGAACATGGTGGATCTGATGTGAAAGCGCGGATTGGCAAAGCAAGAGCAGCATATTTACAACTGAAGAACATACGCAACTCAAATAAACTGTCTGTCAACCAACA